TGCAGCCCCTTCCTATTACTTACATTTTACTTATCCTTTCCATTCTTTGTCTTGTTGTCTCCTGCAATTTAAAAGCAACCAAGTTAGTGAACTCTTCAAAGCTAACATTCTTCAGATGGACTTTCAACTGAAAAAGTCATAGAGAAAATGTGACTTTAAGCACTGTTTACACATCAAAAAAATTTTTGAAACAGACTTAGATGTAGTTTTGCACAGTTTCCTTGTTTTTCACTAGTAGTATATACAACTAGAATTAATGCTTACTTGTTCTTTTGACCTCAGAAAGAAAATCAATGAAGCATTTGCCAGTTTTGCTTACCTTTGAAATGTCTGTCAGACCATGAAGATTAATGGTCGTGGCTTTGGGAGATGGGTCTGTGGATAACGGTGAACTGTATCCAGACGGCTGATGAAGACACTCTGGCATCTTCTCTTTCCTCTCTGCATCTATGGAGAAATGCTCATTTTTTTCTGTCACCTTTGCCTTTTTGCTCTCTTATTGCAAGGTCAGCTATCAAATAGCTTGATTTACAGTATGTAATAACAGAAGAGAATGTATTGTTTAGAGAGGGAAAAAGAAAAGAAACCTACTTTGGTGGGGGTCTAAAATAGGTTTCTCATTTTTTTAAAACAAGGTAAGTGCAGTATATCATATATAACACAAGACAAATTCCAAAAAGATTACTAGAAATGCTACCTTTATGCTGATTACACTGAAATCAACACTTAAGAAAGCCTAATTACTGGGTCAAACATTTAATAGTAACTTCAAATAGTTTACATTATTTTTATTGTAAACTGCCTGTTCAAACACATTTTTAACTTGTGCTAAGTATCCTGTCCTATAAGCAGCAGAAATGCAAACAAAAGTCATCACTTTCTTGTTTAGCTTAAAATTTGTATCAAGCTCTTCCTGTTTCCCTAGCTCTCCTCCTGCTAGGATAGATTTAGCATCCATTCAGCAGAAACAGACTTTTCTTTTACATTGGGAAGGCTTTGATACTCTTTATGATTTTAGAATACTATTGACAGGGAAGAAAAAAATTTGTATTTAGAAAGAGAGAAAATTGTTTCCATATCTTTATTTTCAGTAAGGTCACAATCTATGGATCAAAGCTTCGGAATCCAGTTAGTTACACTATTCTGTATTTTAAATCATATTAAATTATTTTTAATAAGTTGGAAAGTGTTTCTTCTGTACAGCTGTCATTTCTGAAGAGGACTACAACCAAAAAGAACATCAAAGCATTCCAAGTACTGTACATGACACATAGAAGAGTTAAGACTGGTTGCATAACTTGTATGTCTAAAATTTCCTGAATCATATTTTAGAAAAACAGGAGTAATAAATTCAGAAGAATTCTAGAAGTTGTAAAATAAGAACATTCTCTTTTAAAGGCCATCTGGCCTGCTTGCTGACTATGAATTCCTCAAGTGCCAGTAACATGTCAAAAAACTTACTAAAGGAAGAAAACATGTTGCAAGCTTTCTAAGGTCTATAAAAAGGTCTCATTTCTGAGACTTCAAAATTCCAACAACCTTGGACAAAACTAAGAAAAGACTTGCTAATTTCCATGGAAACTGGATTACTGAGATTCCCTTTTAATTTCAATGCAACAACCCAGCACTGAACAAAAACACCTAATAAGTGAGAATGGGAACTAGAATATCCTCTATTACTACTGGTGGTAAGAATAACAGCTGTCATAGGGGAAATGGGACAAATTAATAAAAAGAATGATGCAAGGTAATGGCTAAGGAGCTACCATTGAAGACAAGAAAAGAATTACTTATGGCCTGGGGAGTGTTTTTAACTTCTTTCTCACTTAAGGCTGTCCCATTTACTTCTTCTATGTTATCAAAATTAAGTTGGAAATGAAAGTAAAAGATTTTGTCTTACTCTTCAAATTAAGGAAGTTTAGCAAAAATTATTGTTGGAGAGCTGCTAAGTGCTTCAAAAGTGTTGAAACTATACAGAATGTTCAGCAATGATTTGAAAAACAACAAGGATTATGAATAAAAAACCCTGATTTGTCCTGAGCCCCATTTTAAAAGTAAAAAAAAAAAAAAATCCAACAAACCAGCTATCTTAATGATAACACTATTTTAATTACAACAAACCTGTGGCAGCAAATATAATTTATTTTGTGCTTATAAATAGCTTATTTTAAAAACATTATAACTGCTTTTAAGTGCAGCTAACATTGTTTTTCACAGCTTTAGCTACACCATCTTAATTAAATTAGCATCTGAGATTTTTAGTAGTTAGAGTAACTATTTATTGATATGCTATATATTTACACTAATGCTTTAAAAATTATTTCAGTAAATAAAGTTTCTAAAGAGGAATTTACAAACATTAAATGACTAGTGGGTTAATTAATAATTTGCAGCATGTATTTAAATTCAGAGGTCACTAAATTGCAATTGTCTACTTATAAACACTATCATAGTCAAGGTCAGTAAGAAGTGTTTAGCATATGATGTTAATTAAAAAGAAAATCATTAATACTTACCAGGAGAAATTGGAATCACACTAGATATGCCTTCTTGACTTATACTGAACTCAGCAATTAAGTCTCGCTGAAATACAAGTTTACTGCATTTTAGCCATAGACCCTGTTTAAATCATCTTCTGACTGAACAAAGGTTTATTTAAGTACTAATTATGTATGCATTTGCTACACCATCCAGATAAGTTGGCACAGCACAAATGTCTTTACAGGATGAAAAATCCACAATCTCCATGCATACATTGCATTAAAGAACTAGTCTATTTCATGGCAGCTTTTTAAATATAAGTATTGCTTTTCATAAACAGATCAAAACCAGGTTCAAATACATTGCACATAACTTAGGGACAAGTACAATAAACAACCAGATAGTTCTTGGCCTGTGCCAACAATTACATCTTGACATTGGCTACTGTTACCTTAACAAAATAAGTGTACCTTTTACTTCTGGTTGATATTCAGAAATGTAGCTCCTCAGCCTTACAAAATCAGCCTACAGAAGAACCAAAATTCATCCTACCTAAATCCTTAGAACTCAAAAGTCTATTTCAAGCTCATTCCTAAGCTCCTAAATGAGAGAGGGCTCTTTTAAGAAAGATTCTCAGTTTAATTTGGTCTTAGAAAAGATTGTTCATAAACAAGGAAACAAAATTAATGTTGTACTAGCAATGTAAGTAGTTTTGAGTGCAATTTTCTACTTTCAAAATTACAAAATTTAACACTCAAACAACATCTGGAATTTTTTCACCAATGACTTACTGTTTGAAATCTCAGCCTGCTAAAGTATATCATGCTATATGCTGTTATATACCTGTTAACAGGGGAATTATTATACCTGAATAAGTGAATGAAGGAGAAATAGTAGGTAATGTGTGTGAAGAAGCTGGAAAAAACTGTAATAATGGATAGTTAAAAAAAAATCTGCACTGATTACTTCCACTCAATTACTTTCATTGAATGGTATTTGGTATCTTTCAGACTTTCCCAGAGCTAAATGCACAGCTGCTGCTGCTACTTTGGCAGCAGTGCAAGACAGAGTGTTCCTGCTCTGTGGGCTAGATGCCAAAAATTCCCTGAAAAATGCAAGAGTAAGAAGAAAGGAGTAATTCTTAATTCCTCTTATATCTGTGAAGCACAACTTGGATCGAATTTCACGAAATAAAGCAGCAGTAATTCTCTGGCCCAAAGGATTGGTTCTTGGAAGTTGTCAAATGCCTATTGCAAAAAAAAAAAAAAAAACAACCAGGGTTTTGAAGACCTGAAACTGTGAACCGTGTTAAAAAAGTGACTGAGAATGTCAATCCTTCTAATTTGTGCTACAATCTTTAGAAATGACCTAGTGATCTGTCTGAACACTTGTCAGTCTTAAGACTTTGCATAATTAGCACACTTTCAAGGCACACATATAAAAACATGTCTTATATACAAGTATTAGCAGCATTTTCAAGTATTAGCAGGGCCTCCTGGTTACAAGTAACATTTCTACAACTACAGCAAAAAATGCAACACGAATCAACTATTTTCCACAAGGGTTTTCAATTTCTGGAAAACACCTGACAATATCTGAAGGATACACATAAGAAAATTTTAAAATGCTTTTGCATGTATAAGCATGTGATCACAAAACTGATGCTATAGTTCACTCCATCTCAAAATACCTACATGTGGACATAAATTATACTATGTGCAAACAAGGAGTTTTTCAACAGTATGAAAGATTACACAGAGTCTTAATGCAACAAAGCACTTGATTTGCTCTGACAAATAAACCAAACCTAGCCACATCACAACTGCAGCACTTTCACGCATTTGAAAACACAATGTACATCATGGACAAGAAATAGAAAGGGTGGGAGGTGGGGTGCAAAAAGAAGAAAGGCCATCAATTATGCTAGAAATTTCAAAGAGCCATAAACTAAGAATAGGACTAAATTAAGAATTAACTTTTCCATTAACCTCATATTTTCCGTTGAGCACGCCACCTATTTTTCCAACATCATTTATGTAGAATGAAGACTTAATCTTCCAAAGGGAATACCTGCATCTGATTATAGTTTTGAAAATTAAAAACTAGATATTCAACTGTATCAACAGCAATAACATTTACAGCCCAATATAAGAAATTAAGAATAATGCAGATGAGAATAAGAAAACCCTTAAATGTGTCACTAGCATGATGAAATTCTCAACTACAGAAACATTAAGCTTTCAAAGACAGAATAATTAAGAGTTTTCCAAAGCTTTATTTTACAAGTTTGGTAAAAAATAAACACATACAGAATCATTAGTAAGGAAAATAGTTTTAGCTGTACCTATTATACTTTCAGGTCTGAGGAAAAGAACATAAGGCTACTAGTAGACGAAAAGCTGGACATGAGCCACCAATAGGCACCTGCAGCCCAGAAGGCCAACTGCATCCTGGGCTGCATCATGAGAAGTGTGGCCAGCAGATCGAGGGAGGTGATTCTGCCCCTCTACTCTGCTCTGTTGAGATCTCACCTGGAGTACTGTGTCCAGCTTTGGAGTCCCCAACACAAAAAGGAGATTGAAGTGCTGCAGCTTGTGCAGAGGAGGGCCACAAAGATGATCAAAGGGCTGGAGCACCTCTCCTACAAAGACAGGCTAAGAGAGTTGGGGTTGTTCAGCCTGGAGAAGAGAAGGCTCTGGGGGGACCTTATAGCAACCTTCCAATACCTGACAGGTGCCTATATGAAATCTGGAGAAGAGCTGTTCACAAGGGCATGTAGCAATAGGATGAAGGGTAACAGTTTTGAACTAGAAAAGGGTAGATTTAGGGTGGATATTGAGAAAAAGTTCTTCAAGATGAGGGTGGTAAACCACTGGAACAGGTTGCCCAGAGAGGTAGTGCAGGCCTCATCCCTGGAGATATTCAAGATCACGCTTGATGGGGCTCTGAGCAACCTGACATTGTCCCTGCTTACTGCAGAGGGGTTGGATTAGATGACCTTTAAAGGTCTCTCCCAACTCAATACACTTTATGATTCTATTGTTCCTGCAAGGAAACAATTTCCAATGGAAAGCTTTGCTTCACAGGGCATGAGAAAACAACAGAATTTAAGAAAAAAATACCACCAACTCCATAAACAGCACTTCCATTCAGAGATACATCACGAGACAGGAAGAGCAGAAACAGCATGACAACATTGTGTCCTGGCAATTTTTGCTGTATAGAAGAGAAACAGAAGTTAATATACCTTTTTGGATTGCAACAAGAGTTCTGTTTCAAGAAGCAAAACTCGACTCAACAGGTTATTCCAGTCCTTCTCATCTATGATCACCTTTCCTTTCAGTTTCTCTTCTAAAACATGTAGTTTATTTTCCATCCAATCTAGCTTATTAAGCTTTTCCTGGCAATCAGCAAGCTGACTCCTTAGGAACTCTGTCTGAGAATTATCTTCTATGACCTGAAAATATGGGTAAGAACACGTCTCTTAATTTAAAAGTGGATATAATTCATCATTTGATCAATGAAATCAGGTAGAATCTTCCTCAAGTTCAGTAAGCACATTCTGCTACATCAGAATATTGTTATTCTTTCAGAATTGCCATAATATGCCTATTCATGGGACTCAGCTTTTAAAGAAACTATTGACAAAACTGGTTCTTTAAAGGCCAGTATAATTTAACTGAGGGTTTTCTTCAACTTTTCCAATAATTTATTATATATCTACTAGTTATACTTAAGGAACATCCAGCTATCTTTTAAAAACATTTATGCCTTTAGAAAAGCCCTGTAAGAAAAGTTAAGAATACGTGCACGCAGCATCTTAAAGTAAATGTTCTTACTTGTTCACATTTAACTTCCACAACATCATGATCTAGGCACAACTCTTCTTCATTACCTCCCTGTGCTGGAAGGGGTAGTGGATGAAGGTCATCACTAATTTCACTTCCTGAGTGCCGTTCTACTCGAGGCTTCTTTTGAGCAGGTTAAAAAAAAAAAAAAATCACTGGTGTTATTCATTACAAGAACATTTCAATTAATCAGCCAAGTAATTGACACAAAATACCTACCACTTTAGCATTTATTTATTTATCAAAAACATGACAATCTTGTCCCAACTGGTTGCAAAACACATAAAGCAACAGCAAGTAGTTCAATTTAAAAATCATACAGACATGAAAGAAATGTAAACCAAATATGCACACATTTTACCATATATATTGTGTACCCTGGTTCCCTTCTATAAACAGTAATGAAGGCATTAAAGTCTTCTCTTATTGTAAAGGTTGTTAGATTTCTAAGTGTGGAGTGGGAGGTATGACTCTCACTGTATGTATTAACATATATATTGACAGTTTCAACATAAAAACCACCACCCAAATATTCAAGAAAAAAAAGTTTAACTAGAAAGATTAGAATTCTCTACTGACAAATATCAGCAAAACAGCCCTACTTGCTACACATTTAAGTTCCTCTGAATGCTTCTCTTAGAGAGAGCAAAATAAGAGACAAATTTTGCCTTTCTTTCCAGGTGGATCAAGTCCTATGATCCATTCTGCCACAAAACCATATTACCTAATGATTAAGAACCCACAATTAGTAGTTTTGTACAGCATCTTAACCCCTTCAGATTCCTAGATGTTTTAGAGAAGTTGAAACTGTCATTTTCTAGGGAATTCTTAATACACTCACATATATCCCTATTCAGTTCTACCATTCAACAAACAAAAGGGCCAGATAAGCCGTATCAAATAATCTTTTGTGAGGTTTTCCTCACTGCTAAAAGCAGCATTTGTCTCCTAAATAGAATTCATCAATATTTAATAGGCATCACAGTCCTAAAAGTTTTGTACAGTTTTACTTTGCACCCTTTTAGCACAAAATATTAGGAAAAGTGTCTCTTTCCACAGGCCAAAAGTACCATAACACATAAGATGAAGTGTTACTCTTGTAAAATCAAAGCCAAGAAGAATGTTACATTAAGAAATCTTTGCCAAACAGATTCAGACAGAAAGAGCAAAAAGTTATTTGAAAGCTAAAGTTGAAAACACTACAATGTTAGGCAAACACACTTCAATTTCCAAAAGGGATGTATACTCGTTTTCCAGTTGCATCTTCACTTTCATTGCTGTTCCTCCATTTTATATAATTCAAACTGCAAACAACAGTACCAGCAAAACTCAGTAAAAGAGAGAAGCAATATCTTCTCTAGTCCAGCTATTATTTCCGTCAACCACACTTCAGAAAAAAAAAAAAGGTCTGATGAAACATTAAAACCTAAATGAAAGCACATATTCCAGAAAAAGCCTGACTTGGTACAAATAAGATTAACCTTTATACATATAACATAAAAGCTATTTTCATACCTGTCTGGAATTCACAGTAGTGCCACTGGGATCAGCAAGGACATCACAATTTGACCATATTTCACATTTAAAAGATCTGAGTTTTTTCCTTGTTCCGGATTTAACCTTCAAAGTGAAGAGGAAGAAATATTATGCTACTAACACAGGATATTTTTTGGGGTGAGGGAAGAAGGAGGGCATTAAGATAGGATGACATACCCCATTTTCATCATTAACACGCAGGAATATTGCATGGCACAAACACATTTAAGCCTCTGCAGTGGCTTAAGAAAATTAATCATCAAAATTTACAGAGAAAACATATCTGGAAGTCATCGCCATATTCATACACTCATTAACACCTATGTGAGGCTACATCAAAGCTAGTCATAGAGAGAAAACATAACTTGCACCACAGTTGAAAGACAAATATGAAAAAAAAAGTAGTTATGCCACCAATTAAGCACAAAGAAGTACTGAAGACTTATGAACTAAAACAAAATGAAACTGGCTGAAGGAAAGAAGCCAGAGAGTC